TAACTGCCCTTCCCTTTTTCCCAACTGTCTGTCCATTTATTGTAAATCTCAGTCGTGAACTATATTTAGAATGGTGGAAATGTCTAAATTGCTCATCAAGCTCTCTGGCCTGCCACTGTCATGAGGAAAGGCCACCCTTTATCATGCTTCTGTTGTTACCTCATCTTGATATGTACTGTTTATTTTGAATGGCATCCGTGTTATTTATCATTTAAAAATCGATTTGTAAAATTGTTTTCAAATAAGTTGTCATACACTGAGATTTGTAGTACCCTGGACCATATTGATTTGAACCCTGCTGCTGTACCCTGCTAAATCCCTAAACCTCACCTCCCTCACCTGGATGCCTCTCCTCCCCTCCTCCCCGATCCTAATCCTGGCGATCCCTTGCCTATTGCACTTTCCGCCGAAATTAAATTAGTTATTATGTGTCGTGTTCCTTGTACTTTCACAACAAACATCACCCAGCTTGTATCACATTGCCGTTTCTCCCTTGCAGAGCTATGGTGCGATGTCCCCCGGCGTCCCCCCGGCGCCCAACCAGGCCACCTCCCAGCCCCCGGCAGGCCACTCCCCAGCGGCCAGCCAGGGCCCCGGTACGGACGTGGTGCCCCCCATGGCCGTGCCCGTCCCCAACACCAGCCTCCCTCCCATGTCGAGCTTCCGGGGCTCGACGGGGGCGGCGGGCGCGGGCGCGGGGGCGGGGGCGGGCCCCGCGGGTCCGGGCAGCCTAACCCCCGTCACCTCGGCCGTCATCCCCACGTCCAGCCCTGCCAACCCCTCCCTCTTCACGAGTCACCACTCGCCCGGTCCCGGCGTGGTCCCGACACCCGGGGACACCTTAGGAAAAGCCCTGGCCTCGGTGAGTTCTATTGCAATGCACATCAACACTTTTGCTACGGATGCCTGAAATACTTTGCAATCCATTGCATCGCACTCTTTTTGCGATGCTTTTGGGTCTCAAATATTTTCCAGACATTTTTGCAAAACCTGTTGTGTTACATGGAAAAGTCAGTTATGGTAAAACTGTGGGAAGGGATGGAGCATGCGGATGCTGGATGGGTCATGCAGTCAACCTAATAATTGTACGGTAACAGTAATGGGAGTTTTGTTTTCTTTTACATTCCTTTTCTTAAACAAACACACTATATTAATTTCAA